CAAAAGTAATATTGGGTTGTCAATGTCAGAGAATTTTGTTTTTCACTTGGAAAGGTCAACATGGAAAGTTACAAATGCATAAATGCGAGCACAGTAGTGAATAGCTAGTTCAAGTTTACATGTCTAATTACGGTAGAAGGAAGACTAAAATCTTACAGTTTTTATCTAGATTAATTAAACTTTGAAAACACGTGCATGAAATAAAGAGAGTACATTTATATGGGACTTAGATTCAGTAACTGTAGCCTGTATTTTGCTTATAGGGGATGAGGAGGGACTGGTAACTGGCTATATGATAAAAATAAAAAATATCTCACTTCTCTGAACTGGCAACAGTGGATTAAAACTATTAGCAGACACATTTATCATGTTAAAATAGAAAGACCAAACTCTCTTTACCTACAGGTGGCTATTAGTTACCACAGAGCATAAAATAAAATGCAATGGGATAAAAGTCAGGAGGTTTTCATGAGTCTCTGTGACACGATTTAAAAAACAACAACAACAAAAAAAAAATGGGTATAGAAAATCTGCAATACTGGCAAGTGAAAGATGAACATTTGAAAGATAAACAAATTATATACTCTTGATGATGTACTCAGAGCTATCATTATGACATGCAAAATAAACAAAGGAGTTACCCACTGTAGTGAAAGAGCAAATTACCCAAGATGGCAGTGGCCAGGTTCTCTCACCACGAGGCCTCTTGCTTTTTCCCCACATTTTGCAAATACGTTGTTATGCAACAACTGAGATCCCTTATAGGACTGCATATGTGTGTCCCGATGTGCCCACTTGGCCATGGGCCACTTTTGTTCTGTAAATCTATATAAGCTACACCTGAAAAGCCCTTGAGGCTGTATCATGTCTGTGTTAAGGCTGTGTTAAGTTCACATCAAGGCTGCATTAAGGCCACGTTATGGTTGTGTTATGTCTGAGTTATGGCTACGTTATAACTGCATTAAGGCTTTGTCTGCTAGGTCAACCACAAGAGTAAAGCATGCATGCATTGCTGCTGCAAACAAACATGTCTCTAGTTCCTATGGCTCCTCAAGTTTTCTTCCAGTTTCCCCATTCACAGCTTGCCTACCCTAGGTTCAGTGAACAGTGAGATACAGTGAGATAGTTGGCATAGTTGATGGGATACCCAGCAGGCAGGGGAGCCTGAGGCTCCAGTGGTTGGAGAAAGTCAGTGGACACCACATAGTATGTGGTACCTGGCGGCCACAGTCCTTTCAGTGTGGGCCCCAGTTGGAGACTGGGAGATGGAGGACAGGTCACTGGATAATGTTGAAACGTCATTACAGGAGGTGAGTTCCCATTTGCCAGATAATGTGCCATGTACCACCACTGGCACCATGAGATGGGTTTTCCTAACCTCTGAAGGCCAGTATGGACATTGCTCTCCTTGATGCTGCTCAAGTGCACGAACTGCAGAGACAGATGAACAGAAGAGTTGGAACCATGCATATGTATGCTGAAGCCAGACATGGCTGACCTTGAGGATCCCAGTGCCTCAGACTATGAGGTAATGAGGGTCGATGACAGTGAACACTGTGAGACGCAGGCCCCTGCTTGGCTGTGAGGCCTGTTGTACAGTAGAAAGTGGAACAGGAGCAGTCTATGGCTCGGGGGGGACATCTTCAGGGGGCCCACAGTGTGACTGAGTTCACAACCTATAGACCATATACTCAGGTAGAGTTGGAACGGTTGGCAGTATGGCTTCTGCTACTCTGGGACACAGCGGGGGAGGATATCATTTGTTCCAGGGATGAAAATAGAATGGTTTGCATCTATAACCACTCACCCCTCATTGAGACAAAAGTTGTAGAACATTATAAGACTGCAGGTCCCTGCTTGTGAGCAAGGCCAGTGATATAAGTGAGACCAGAGCAGCAGTTTAAGCGCCCATAGCAAAAGATACAGGTAGTTACACAAGCTCCTGATGTGGGCTGTGACCCTGTACATACAGACTCGTGATGTGAGCTGTGAATGCTACAGAAATTCCCTCTCTGAAGAGGTGGGCCCTGTGTCTGTGGGGGGTTTTGCAGGTCCTTACTGAGAGAAGTGGGTGGAGGCAGGCAAAGAGGATGAAAAGCATGAAGGCTCCCAAGGGGGCCCGAGCTGGCAGGAGCCCATCTGGGTTACACAGATGCAAATGTGGGTTGATTTGTGCAGAGGTGTACTCTAAAGGCTGTGCCCTATGATGTAGATTAAGTAAAACTGTCTACTATAAAGTCTGTGTCTTATGATGTGGATTTAGTAGAACACTGTAAAGCCTGTGTCCTATGATGTGCTGCCGCGGCTGCTGCTAATTCACTCAGTTGTGTCTGACTCTGTGCGACCCCATAGATGACAGCCCACCAGGCTCCCCCGTCCATGGGATTCTCCAGGCAAGAACACTGGAGTGGGTTGCCATTTCCTTCTCCAATGCATGAAAGTAAAAAGTGAAAGTGAAATCTCTCAGTCATGTCCGACTCTTAGAGATCCCATGGACTGCAGCCTACCAGGCTCCTCTGTCCATGGGATTTTCCAGGCAGGAGTGCTGGAGTGGGTTGCCATTGCTTTCTCCGAATGATGTGCTATTAACTGCTAATTCTCTTGCAGATTTAGAATACTGTGAAAACATTTGGAATCATGTGGGCTGTGAATGCCACAAAAATCCCCTCTTTGAAGGAGTGGGCCCAGCGCCTGTGGGGAGTTTTGTGATTCCTTACTGAGAAGACACATGGTGGACTGGATTTAGGCATGAAAGACAAAGGCATTCCACATGTGGTGGGTAGCTCTTTTAGCCCCTTGAACACGAGGACTACAACATGAATTCCAAGTGATGCCTGGCATTGGGTTTTGCTATGTGTTGGAGATGCACCTGCTTGCTGTCATAGCATCCACTGCTGTTGCAGAATGTGGGTTTGAGGGTCAGTGTTATCCACAAAGGACATATCACAGAAGTGGACTGTACATAGATTGTGAGGCAAGAGATCCTGAAGAGGTGGAATGTAGGGAAAGAGCAAATTAGCCAAGATGGCCGTTGTCAGGCTCTCTTACAACAAGGCTTCTCACTCTCTTGACCCACGATTTGTAAATACGTGGTTATGTAACAACTAAGGTAATTTATAGAACTGTGCATGCATGTCAAGATGTATGTGTTTGGCCATGGACCACTTTTGTTCTGTAAACATATATAAGCTCCACCTGAACAGTCTTTGAGGCCATATTAAGGCAGCATTATGGCTGCATTGTGTCCAAGTTTTGGCTACACTATGGCTGCATTAAGGCTGTGTCTGGTGGGTTAACCATGAGAGTAAAGCATGTCTGCCTTGCTGCTGTGAATAAACATGTCACAGCAGTTCCTATGGCTCCTCAAGTTTTCTTACAGCTTCCCTGTTTGTGCCTTGCCTACCCTGGGTTCAGCGACCTGTGAGATACAGCATCACCCTATTCCTTCCTAAAGATGCTGCTGCTGCTAAGTCTCTTCAATCATGTCTGACTCTGTGCAACCCTATAGACATCAGCCCACCAGGCTTCCCCGTCCCTGGGATTCTCCAGGCAAGAACACTGGAGTGGGTTGCCATTTCCTTCTCCAGTGCATGAAAGTGAAAAGTGAAAGTGAAGCTGCTCACTCGTGTCCGACTCTTAGCGACCCCATGGACTGCAGCCTACCAGGCTCCTCCACCCATGGGATTTTCCAGGAAAGAGTACTGGAGTGGGCTGCCATTGCCTTCTCCAAAAGATGTTTGTGAATTATGACCCAGTACAACTGCTAAAATTTCAGAAATCACAATGATTATTATAGGTGAGTCTAAACAGATTTCATGATTTTTTCATATACAGGCTCCCCTTACCAATTATATTTGCATTCAATGACTTTGCAATGGACTGATGTATGCATGCATGCTAAGTCACTTTAGTCATGTGCAACTCTTGCAACCCTATAGACTATAACCTATCAGCTCCTCTGTCCATGGGATTCTCCAGGCAAAAATATGGGAGTGGATTGCCATGTCCTCCTCTAGGGGATCTTCACAATTCAGGGATAAAACCTGCATCTCCTGCAGATCCTGCATTGCAGATGGATTCTTTATCACTGAGCCACAAGGGAAGCCCAGTGGATAAATAGTTAGCAGATACTATTCAAGCATTTTCTGTGTCTGGTTAGGTACCTTAAATACTAAAGTGAAAACAACATTTTTTTTTACCTTAACCTTATGTATTTATGTGAATATTTGTACATTGTATATGAAAGGGAGAAGAAAAATGGATAATTGAGGAATAATGTATTTTCTTGTGGGAACCACTGAGTTATAAAAAATTCTGAGATGAAAACAAATGAGGTTGACTATCAGGGCTTCCCTGATAGCTCAGTTGGTAAAGAATCTGCCTGCCATGTAGGAGATCCTGGTTCAATTCCTGGGTGGGGAAGATCCGCTGGAGAAGGGTTAGGCTACCCACTCCAGTATTCCTGGGCTTCCCTTGCAGCTCAGCTGGTAAACAATCTGCCTGCAGTGCGGGAGATCTGGGTTAGATCCCTGGGTTGGGAAGATCCCCTGGAGAAGGGAAAGGCTACCCACTCCAGTGTTCTGGCCTGGAGAATTCCATGGACTGTATAATCAATGGGGTCACAAACAGTCAGACACAACTGAGTTTCACTTTCACTTTCAAGAGGATCAACTAGAAAAGAGTAGGTGAATGCAATCTATCAATTATAAGGTCATTGTAGCCACATGCAGTGTATCCTAAGAGAAAACTTGCTTACTCATTGCTTAAGACGCAACCCTACAATTACTATTAATATCATTTCACCTGAATACTGTTTACTAGATCAGAGTTTGCCACCTGAGCCAAGTGTAGTTCCTCAATAAGATACCAACTAAAATATGATGTGTACAATGTAAAGAATGAGCTGAGACAACCATATTCTTTCCTTGGAATTATATTAGAGAAATTTTTTAAATTTTAAGAAATTAACAACATGAAGTAAAAGTTTCAGAGACAGGACAGTGAATTGGAGTTGTTAATAATTGTGACAAAACAAAGCAATGAGGAAACAGACATTATGGTGAACTACTTAATATGAAGGGTAGAGAAGAAAAAAAGTCAGTAGACTAGGAGAAGACAATAGAATCAGCAAGGAGAACCCTTTCTTTCTTTCTTCTTTCTTTCCCCCTTTCTTCTATCCTCCTTTTCTTTCCACTTTTGCTTTCTTCCTTCCTCCTTTCCTTTCTTCTCTAATCAAGAAAAAAAAGAACACGTAACATTAAATTTTCTATCTTAATCATTTTTAAGTGTATAGTTTAGTATGGTTAAATATTTTACATTGTTTGCAATGTATCTCTAAGACTTTTCACCTTGCAAAGCTGAAACTATACTCATTAAACGTCATACACCTGCTGCAAGGCTTTGGCAACTACCTTTCTACTTCCTTTATCCATGATTTTTACTACTTTAGATACTTCATAGGAATGGAATCATACAACATTTTCCTTTCATATTCCTATCTATTTTGTGAGTTATATGCTTTTCCAGTGACAGATAACATTTAGGTACGTATACATCCTTAGAACAGTTATGAAAATAAATACATATCTTTGAGGTACAAAACAGTACCAAATAAACCCAAGTAGTAACAAGTAGCAATATTTTCCTTTTGAATCAGGAAATAATTGAAACACACAATTTGAAATATTTATTCAATAAAATAATACTTGGGGGGAGTACAACAAAAGTCCATCTACTCAAAGGTATGGTTTTTCCAGTAGTCATTATGGATGTGAGGGTTAGACTGTAAAGAAAGCTGAGCACCAAAGAATCAATGCTTTTGAACTGTGGTGTTGGAGAAGACTCTTGAGAGTCCCTTGGACTACAAGGAGATCAAACCAGCCCATCCTTAATGAAATCAGTCCTGAATATTCATTGGAAGGACAGATGCTGAAGTTGAAGCTCCAATACTTTGGTCACCTGATGCAAAGAACCAACTCATTGGAAAAGATGCTGGGAAAGACTGAAAGCAGAAGGAGAAGGGGATGACAGAGGATGAGATGGTTGGATGGCATCACTGACTCGATGGTCATGAGTTTGAGCAAACTCTGAGAATTGGTGATGGACAGGGAAGCCAGGCGTGCTGCAGTCCATGGGCTCACAACAAGTCAGACACAACTGAGCAACTGAACCGAACTGGGGGGTAGTACATGGGCCCAAGAAATATATTAGGTATTGGTATTTAAAGGAGGTTAAAGTAAATATATCCCACTTTCACTTTGTGTCAGGAAAAAAAAAAGCAAACACTTCATTGATTTTAAATTTATTAAATGTATTGATTTTAAAATAAGTTTAATGTATTTTAACTGAGTTAGAGACTTGAGGGAGAATGTAACTAATGATGAAATTTTTGATTATGTTTTCATAGAACTTTAAAATAGGTCTTAGTTCCACTTCTCTTTCATAATGACAATACTCCTTGCTAGATTAATCTTAAAACAAACTCGGTGTATTTTAATCTTGTGTGAAGGTTTCAAATATGCGTTGTAATGCATTTTAGTAAAATATATAAATGATGACATCTCTGTAAGCAGTTCTGTATATAAAGAGATACTGCTGAGCTCACCAGTTGTCATATAATTGAACTTATCAACTGTCTTGCAAGCTTTTAAAGAGTCTTCCTTGTCATCATCCTAAACATTTTTAAATCTCCTCTGCTTTCACAAAACTGGATTATCTTACACAGTGTGAGAATTTGTAATTAAAATTTACTTAGAAAATGTATTAAGCACTATAGGAGATTTTGCACAAGTGCTAATGAATATACTGTATTTAATCATCATCAAACAGATCAGATATAAGGAGCTGATAAGTTAAAGTAAACAACTTTTAATAATGCAGATGCACTCAAAATTGTGATATTGGCATTGTAAGAAGTAGATTTATTCCATGTCATTTATGTTAAATTGATTTTTTTTAACTTCTCACTAGTGACATAGGTACATGGTAACTGTTAAAGCAAACTTCTAACATGTAACATTTGGGGAAATTGTATGAATTATAATGAATTAAATGTATGAATTATTTAAAAAAAGAGTTTTTAAAAATAAAAAGAAAAGCATCATTTAGCTATGTGAAAGATTTTCCTCAAAGCACTGAGTGCTCTTTGTAAGAAAAGCTATGGCAAATCTAGACAGTGTATAAAAAAGCAGAGACACCACATTGCTGACAAAGGTCTGTATAGTTAAAGCTATGTTTTTTCTAGTAGCTATGTATGGATGTGAGACTTGGACTATAAAGAAGGCTGCACTGAAGAACTGATGCTTTTGAATTGTGATGTTGGAGAAGACTCTTGAGAATCCCTTGGACAGCAAGATCAAATCAGTCAGTCCTCAAGGAAATCAAGCCTAAATATTTGTTGGAAGGACTGATTCTGAAGCTGAAGCTCCAGTACTTTGGCCACCTGATGCAAGGAGTCAACTCACTGGAAGAACCGTGATGCTGGAAAAGATTGAAGGCAAGGTGAAAATGAGGCTTCAGAGGATGAAATGGTTGGATGGCATCACTGACTCAATGGACATGAGTTTGAACAAGCTCTGGGAGATGGTAAAGGACAGGGCAACCTGGCATGCTGCAGTCCATGGGGTCACAAAGAGTCAGGCATGACTGAGTGACTGAACAACAATTGACCGCTAAATATTTGGAAAGTCTAGTTCTGGTATTTTTAGGATCATAGTGAGCTATTCATTAAGTGATCTCTAGACCTGGAACTGTTGGGCCAGATGACAAGGGAAAAGAACAGTTAATTTAGGTTATGCAGGAGATCAGTTGTGCATGATGATGGAAGGTATAAGCTAGTGAGGGTGGATCAGCAAGAAAGAACTGTCAAGATCAACAGAAGCAATGTTTGGCTCCTCTGGGATATCATATCTTCTCCTGAGGAATCAAAGTCAAAGGCGAAAGATTCTCTGTAAGCAAAGAAGTAGAGAGTATACAGATTTATCTGACCTCATGGACTAGAGAATGCTTTCATGCAAAAATGACTTGTACTCAATAATTTTTGAAAAAAAAGAATCTCTAAATGAGGCATTTATCCTCTGACTTTTGTGGCCCTCTCTAATCTTTAAGAAGTGTTGCTTAGTAATGCTACATTTAGGGCCCAAATCATTGTCTCTTCCTAGAATAAAAACTGACATGGGGTTTAGAAGAGAACCATGGCCCCAGGAGCTCTAAAATATTGATTGTAGAGTGCCTCCTTTTTCCTCTTTTTGGATGATTCACTCTTATGCAAGTGGTTTGTTCTTCCTGTGGTTGATGTAGGATTAAGGCCTATACATTCATAATAGTATTAGTTGTACTTTGCCATCACAGAATTTTCATGCTAACAGGGATCTTAGAAGCTGGTTGGTCTCTACTTCTCACCTGAGTAATGATCATGCATGGTAATCCTCCCAGACCTAGAAGTCAAGTTCCTCTCAATTTGCTGACCCTTCCTTATTAGTCTATTGTTCTCTAAAAAATGAGAATAATAAAAAACCTCTAAAAGCTCAGAGATTAGTACTGGGCTCAATCCTCTAAACGTTGAAGTGCTTATGTAAGATCTTGATGAAAGAAAGGAGAGATTCACTTGAGCAATGGCACAGACAGGTAATCAAACACAGCAGAGTATATAGGTCAGTAAAAAGCTTCTCTGAAACATAAACTATAAAAGTGAAAATAGCTATTGTGAAATATAGTTACATTAGATGCAAGCAAAACCATTATTAAAATGCTTATTCAAATTGCTCTGAATAGTTTCAAATATATAAACTTAATATATGTGTTAATTTTTTGCAAAGAATAAAAAAATATAAAAAGAGGAAATCATCAAAGAAAATTGCTTGAAGAACCTAGGGCCACTGTGGAAATTAGTCCAGTTCTTTCACTTTATGCATAAAGAGACTAAATCTCTTAGGGGTAACACCAGTTGTGCTAGGTCACAGCAGGCCAAAATATAATTCTAAATCCTCCGATATCATGTTAGCACAAAACTGATTGGGTATTTTTCTTTTAAAAATACAGAAAAGAAGAAGAGGAGTATGACAGAAGAAGACACAAAGTCACAGTGTAATGCAGGAGCAAGGTGGGTAGCATCAAAATGGAGGATCTGATAAACTAGAAGGACCTGAAAAACTAGAGATCAAGAAAATCATGTTAAGAAAGTTAAGGCAAAAAATAATAGGAGTTTTTAACTAAAGATGTTAGGAAATTTTCCAGAAAATCTGAATCAGTTCAGGTAGTAATAGAGTGAAAGTGAAAGTGGCTTAGTCGCGTCCAGCTCTTTGTGACCATGGACTATACAGTCCGTGGAACTCTCCAGGCCAGAATACTGGAATGGGGAGCCATTCCCTTCTCCAGGGGATGTTCGCTTATCCAAGGGAACTTCCCAACCCAGGGATCAAACCCAGGTCTCCTGCATTGCAGGAGGATTCTTACCAGCTGAGCCACCAGTGAAGCCCAAGAACACTGGAGTGGGTAGCCTATCCCTCCTCCAGCGGATCTTCCTGACCTGTGAATCAAACTGGGGTCTCCTGCTTTGCAGGCAGATTCTTTACCAGCTGAGTTACCAGAGAATCCCACATTCCTTGATAACACGATAATAATAATAGCAAAGTAATAGAGTACAATACTACAAATTTTCATTCTGGGCATTCTTTTTTTTTTCTCTCTCTTCAGCCCACAGATACAATAGAAGACAAGCTCAGAGCCTCTGAATTTGAATGGCAGTTCTAGTGGAGCAGGAGTAGAAGTGCATAGAATACCTGAATCTACAATCAGAGGATTTGAGAAATCAGAATTCCCAAATACTATCCACTGCTAATTACTAACCATGAAGCAAAATACAATTTGAAAATAAATTTCATATTTTTTCCCCTTTTGTCCCATGAGAAAAGAACATGAAATAGCTATACACGCTAAAGTATGTTTGCAATAGAATTTATACAGAAGCAAATCCTCTATACTAATAAGAAACTAAAAACACTTTGGATATAAAGAATAGCCATGTAAGTGTAATTATTTTATTTGTTTTGTTGCAAGATATAAGAGGTTTCATTCAGACCAAATTTTTTTGTGTGTATTGAATTTAAAAGATATACTTTTTTTATAAAATTCTGCGAGCCAGCTAGTTTAATTTTTAGCTATAAATTCTGTGAATTTGCAGGCTTTCAATTTTCAGAAGGCAATGAACATTATTTCAGTACAACTTTTA